GCTGCGAGTGTGTTCTGCTTGACGTACTTTAAATTATTTTTATGCGCACATATAAATTGTGATTGGATTTGAGACCCGGCCATAAAAATACCTAAGCCGCCCAATGGCTAAAATGGAATGTGTGTGTGTGTGTGTGTGTGCGTGCCATCTCGGCCTTGTCATTCGAGTCGCATCAAAATCAATAAGCGTATCGAAAGTCATAAGCATAAAAATGCCAAAAGCAAATGTTTTTGCCAGCTTTAAAGCCAAGAGCCTTGCAGAATGTGCACTTACCGCCTGGCCTGGTACGGCTTTCCCCCTGCTGCATAGATACGTATACGCACCGTGGTCGGCACTTAAGCGTGACGCCGCTCATAAAGTTACTTCAGACAGACTTACACATACATGTACACATAAAAGGCATTTGCGTTGATTGCGCCTAAGCTGCATGCCAGAGGCCTCATAATGAGCTTAACTCGGACAACCGGTCAAGGAGTGCGGGGCGGGGCAGGTGTCACGCAGTCGCATTCACACATCTCACCTGGAGCAGAGCAAAGCTGACTTGTCCGCTTAAAGAACGCCAATTTACTTTGCACACAGCCAAGCTGCAAAGCTGGCCAAAATAAATCCCAAAGATGTGTTTATTTTGCTTAGGCGAGTTGGGGACTAGCTGCGCATATTTCGATGAAAGTTTTCCACTGGACACTTGCTTGTTGTTGTCGTTTTTGTTGTTGTTGTTAACTGGACTGTTTGTCAAAGTTCTGCTGGGGATTTGTCGCATAGAATTTTGCTCTGAATTTAATTATTTGTTGTTGCTCGCTTCTGTCCAGCTGGACATAACCATGTGTGATCTAAAAAGCAATTTGCGAATATCCGAATTCCGAAAAGCCGCGGCTTTTATATACTCCCAGTTGCGTGCCCCGTTGTTGGACACTCCCCAATGGTGTTGTACACTAAATAATTTGGTAAGAAGTAAAAGGCTCTAGTCGGGAGCTCCCGACTAGGGGATACCCTTCTTCTTCTTATTCCAACTTTAGTAATATATGCTTTAGTAATATAAATATATTTAAAAAAAAAGTTTCCCCGGCAGGGTTCTTGCTGCCGCCTCCAACAGCCAAACAGCCCCAGTGTCAATCTCCACGTCAAAAAGCGCAGACGTGTAAAATAATGTGTGTAAAATGTTTAAATTAGGATTTCAACTTAATGTTTTCTATTTGTTTATTGTTTTTTGTATCTTGGTGTTAGAGCCCTGAAGACGGTTTGTCGATGTGCAACCGAAATTTATTGGAAGCAAAACATTTAATAAAATTGATTTCACTGTTTGTTTCTACAAGGCCGGACCTCGAGTCAGACAACAAATATTCTAAATATGGAAAGGTTACCAAAACCATCAATAGATACTTGATATACATATACTTTTTTAGAAGCTGCATGTCAAATTTGGTACTTCTTCCAGTCTCTAGCTCTTATAGGCTCTGAGATCCTTGCGTTCATACATACGGACAGATGGACAGACGGAGATGGCTAATTCGACGCGGCTTGTGATCCTGATCAAGAATATATGTCGAAGATACTTCCATGCATAAAAACATTATACCCTGGAAAACTGTTCTGAACACTATTCTTAGGCAGTATCTGTTGTGGAAACATCAGCGTGCATAATTTTTTTTTCCTTATTGTTTCTGTTGTTTCAATAGCAGAAATACACAGCATTAACAACAATATCCATTACACAGGCAAAAATGTTTCGCATTTCCAATGTGTATTCATTTTTATGCAAACATTCAGATCATTTCAATAATTATTTTAGCAAGCAGTAATGGGCTTGTGGCCCAATACTTGCTTAATGACAGTTTCCCGAACAAGGTAATAAAAGTACAATGACGCAATTAGGGTTTGACACCAGTTAATGTGGGGCACGTGGCATGCCACCTCATATTGGACGCTTAATAAAATCTAATTGGAAATATCAGTTGAACAGATGAAACAGCCAAAACAGGCAAAAGGAAGAGTAAAGTATATATATTATTGGTCAGCATTAATAGGCGAGTCGATCTAAACATCCGACCCCATCCCCCAAACAATTAATAGGTTCAGGCTATCCTACAGTTGGGCACTCCCTGCTAGAGCACTTATTAAATGTTTTGATAATAAATTAATATAGCGTATTGATTAAATTATCTTTTAAACTAAAATTAATTTTGCTTATTTATTGCTATTACCTATGCAAACTACATAGCCCAATCAAATTAAATAAAACAGTTTCCGAGCAAGTGCAAATATGCAATTTAAATGTAATTATCTTAAGGCTAAACCGGATTTGAAACATTAAAGGCTTATATTTAATTGCGTTTTAACCATCAATGTAGCGTTATACTAACGAATTGAACCCAAACACAATTATCAACTTGTTTTGCTGGGAAAACAAATTCAAAATTTGTATACCCTGTGTCCATTGATACATTGTTGAACAGCATTCGGCAACAAGACTCATGTCCATTTGACCGTCTGTCTGAACTTTGATCTTGGAGAACGTGAGACACATTAAGGTGGAAAGGCTGATTAACGTATATCACACGGATTTTAGGTTTATTTCAGATACAGCTTTTATTACTGTACTATTAGAATTAGACAACTTTCGGCTAGTCCACGGAGTATCTTCTAGTCAAGCACCCACTAGGGAAACACCCAAGCTTTTTAATTGAGTTGTTCGCCAACAGAATACAAAGAGTATAATCGAAAAAGTTACACAAAACGTGCTGCGATGTTTTGTTTTGAGGCATGTAATTGCTAAAAAGTGAGACTAAATGGTAAAAGTTATTTTGTTATTTGCACTTTGAAAAGATTTAATGTGGGAAATTGTAGCGTGTTACTAATTGCAATTACATGTTTTGCGCAATTAAATGAACAATAGAACCTACTGAAATTAAACGATACATAAATCTAATTGAATCTATTCATAAAGGATTTGTTTTTTCTCGCAGAATATATAATAAAAGAATAAACTCTAGCCACAAATTTAATAGCCAAATGTAAAAACTAACTAACTATTTAAATGAGAGGCAAAATGCCTAGTGTGCATTTTGGGTGGCTATATCAAAACTTAAACTAGCATTGATATTTAAGCTGAAATTCACACAATTTTATCAGTATTTTTCGATGCGCATTTAATCTTGGCAAGGCCGATAGATAGCTTTTCGTTTCTGTCAACATCCGTAAGTACTTTCTTTTCACACTTGCCTCAGCTTGAGTCCGACATGTTTTTATTCCAATTACTTGCACATGTACTGTATTTGTATTCCTTCAGCTTCACGTCAAAAGCTCTCTATTGTCACTTTGTTTGCGCTTTTGGGCACATGTTAGATACATATGTTTGCTTTTGTGAAGTATAGAGAAGTTCTTTACGGTCTATTCATTTCCATCCAATACACATACATTCTAAATCTTGTTTTGAAACATTTTTACCAAATAAAAAATAAATTAAATAACATGTGATTTAAGAGAAAGACCTCATTTTCAATCAAATAAGTTAAATTAAATGAATTTAATTTAACTCGGACTTTTTATTTACCCTTTGTATTCCCAACATTTTAGACATGAAGATTTTAGATAAGCAAATCTTAAATTCGATTAATTGCTTGTTTAATTAAGAGCTCCATAGTTTCAGAAAATTTCCTCCAGCATTACAGAAGACTTTAGAGCATTGAATTTCCCCAAAATTAAGAGCTTTTATAGTTTGAGTTTACAATTTATTTGCAAAACAGACTGGAATTCCAATTATTCCGATTGGTACCGTCAATTTCCAAGAGCGCTGTCTAACTCCCCTAATGCGCGTAGTTAGCATAATGAAAACATTGACTTAAGTATTTCACAATTAAGCGCTTTAATGCCGCACATTAATTTCAGTTAGCGTTTTCCCATGGCGCATATTAAATCTCCATTTATAGGTATTACCAGTGTTAGTTAGCCCGAAAATAATTACCAGGGTATTACAAATTGGTTCGCCACACAATTGAAATCGCGTTCAATGAAAGGCGTTTCGAATTGTTGGAATTATTTATGAGCTGACATATTTACATATATTCTGGCCTATTAAATTTCATTCAATATTTCAACTAGAAGAGAAATGGCATTTATTAACAATGTTGAAAATATTTGGCAATTTGGCAGAAGGAACGGATATGCACAAAAAAAAAAATATTGACTATGTTTACAACTAATTATAAAACAGCCAATCTTAACTGCAATTATTGTTTAAGTCAGTTTTTTGTTACTTCTATATTTCCTGTAATTACAAAATAGCAAAATCTTAGCTGGCATTCTTGTGGATGAAGTTTTGTAAGCTAGTATGTATGAGCTATAATTTTGTCGCTTCTGTATTTAATATAATTACAAAATAAATATAAAAAATGAAATAAAATTCCTTAAAAAATTATTGTATTTTAGTTTCTTAAGAGGCAGGCAGGCAGATATCTTAAGGATTTTTGTTTTTATTTTTATCTTGGACTGTTAACAACTGTTTTTGGTTACGGCTGAGTCGAAGTTAGAGAAGTAATAGTTGTATAAGAGAAATATTGATGTATACATCTATGTAAAACTGGTATAAATGACAATTGTACGCAGCCTACAATAGCCGTATAAAAAAATGGGTATCATATGCGTGCTTTAGTAGACTTTAAACTTCAAATAGTCAACATATATGTTATTCAAAATATTTGAGGATGAACATTAATCGTAAAGGGTAGACTCACATTAACCAAAAAAAGGAACACCTAATAATATTATTAAATAATCATTTCAATAATCTGTAGTCCCGCTGAGCGACATTGCCGGATATTAAGCCCATCCATATCCAAATTTTGCATAGCTTGTAATTTCCTTTGATAATCAACTGCAGTAAAGCATTTCACTGCAACAGCGGGCAAACGTAATGAAAAGTCAGGAAATGACATAAAAGTGAATGAAATTTTTGACCGGCGAACCGGGTTATCTTTTGGTAGTGCCATGCTTTTTCAACTCACTTTGCCTCATTGATGCTATCGAGATTATCTCGGTTCTCGATGATGCCGGACAACAGACCGACCACCTCGGTGCGGTTGAGGGTGTTCAATAGCGTCGTGTTCACAATGGTGTTCAGCTCGAAACGACGCACGGCGAGAATTGTGCAGTTCACTAACAGTTCCGTATCCACAATTTCCGACATAGTTGAATCCTATAGGTGGGGGTATGGTCGACACTATACGCAATTCGGGCCGTGCAAGGGCAGCCGTTAATCGTTGGTTGCGTAATAAACCCGCGCGGTTAACGGCAATTTATTTCACAGAAATTCCATAGAACTCTCTATGGGTGAACGCGAAGACCGTTGGAGCACAGGAGCACAGCATTAATAGCAGCAACATCGGTCGTTGTACAAGGAGCACATGCACATGCTAATTTGCAGAATATAAATACCCGCTTTGCTTACAGTTTAAGGATTAAATGAGAACTTTGCGGGTGCAAGTTAAATCGTCTTTAATGAATTTTTTAACAAACCGAGTGGCTGGGCGTGGCGAACAGCAAGTTGCAAGAGATGTAGCGAAAAAATTAATGGCGCTGTTGCGACGCATTGCACTGGTTCTTGTTTTGAATTTAAATTCTATCAATTATTAATATTACGTATACGCAGCTTAGACTTGTAAAAAAAAATATTTAAGGCTCTCGTAAATTTGAATTGAGCTGGAGCATTTGTAGAGTTCTAAATAAATATTATCAAAATCAATGTTTCTCACTGGGTTTTTTTTTTCAAAAATTGTAATTCGATTCCTCGATTAACAAATTGAGTTATTTTAAGGATTGTACTTTCACTTTTGCTCTTAAATTTGGTAATGCTTAAATATAACGCACAAAACTTGAAACTTTATAAGTATTTCATCACATTTAGCATTTAAATTGAATTTACTTAACCATAAATTTGAAATAAGCTAATAAACAAATTATATTACAATTTATTTAATAACATTTAGTTTATACTTATATTTAATTTAAAATTTCTCATGTTTGACATTAAACACTTAACACTCATCACTGCAATAAACACAGATTGATATACACTGAATTTAATTTTTTTATTTTAGAGAATTTACAGATTTTTTATGTAAATTTGCTCGCCGAAGTCTTTTGTTTCGTATTACTCTGCCTTCGGACAGAGTTAGAGCTTAGGACCAGCAACACTACAGCAACATTGAAACACAATCGCAGGACGTTTTGTCGTAAGAGGAGCTCGCGCTCACGCGTGAACTTTGGTGCTACGAGTTCTGCCGACGACTGTCCGCTTTACATTGTGACTACAAAATGTCTGCCGCGTATGCCAAGGCGGAATAGCCATGAGCCGGGCAACATTAACACAGACACAAACGCAGGCATAGCAACATTTGCACAACCTGTTGAGAGAAGTTAGTAATAAATAGCTGTCAGCATGTTGCTAAGCATTTTTGCCTCAGCAACATTTTATAGCAGCAATACAGAGCGAGACAGAGAGTGAGAGAGAGAGCGAGTTAAAGCCCGTATATGCTAGTGCTCTCTAATTTGCTGGCAGCATTGTTATTGCCGTTTGCACTTATTGCCTTTGGTTTGTGTTTAGGCTGCGGCTGCGGCAAATAAATTTCTCGCTGCGTGTTGATATGATGAATGACCTGTAAATCATTATAGAGGACATGAACAAGGACAGAGCGCCAAAGCGCAGCGCAAATGTGTGGGACGTGCGTCTATTTGTTGTGCTTGTTTGTTTGTGTAATGTTCTTGTATTTGTGTTAGCTCAAGTCTGCAAATGTTCGAGTGTATTTCTCTGTCTGCCTATCTGGCTGTTTATATGCCCGTGCGTGTGCGTGTGCGTGTACACACATGTATTTGCACATTTCAGATTATGACTGCCCATTTGGACATTTCTTCTTGCCCCAACACCACGTTTACTCCGACATACCATCTCTGCACACACACACACACACACACACACGTGTCTCCATGTATTCAGCCGCCTTCTTATAAGCACGCATATGCATTCTCGTTTTGTTGGTTTTTTTTATGTTGTTGTTTTTGTTGTTACGTTTAGTTTATGGCATACATTTGCTATGACCTGCCCATGACCACGCCCCGTACACACACACACACACTCATCATCGCCCGCCCTAAGCATATTTGCACATTTGCAGAGGAGCACTCTCTTGTTTATATTCATACTGATTCCAACATGTTTATTATGTTAAATTTATGCGCGTTTGTTGTATTTTGGATTTATAGAGCGCAGTCTGGGGACACACTTAATGATGCATCTGACGCACCCCCTCTCTCTCTCTCTCTCCCGCTCTCTCTTTTGTGCTGTAAGGAAAGCTTAATCATAAATTGCTGTCAAAAATTAGCCGATTTTTCGGTTTATCCAACGCTTTTTTGCAGGATAATAAATCTTATTTAACGTTATGTAGTGTAAGTTCAAAAACGCTTTGGTTGAATTCTTTAGAATCTCTATACAATTTGGTAGCCATTGGGCAACCAGTCTTATCCAATCTTACCTGTGTGTTACCACACATAATAAACTATGCAACGCATAAATCGAATCGGAATCAATAGAGCACATCTGCAGCCCATGCTAGCTGACAAAATCATGAAATTCACAGGAAACCACTAGAAAAGCTCAGATAAATTCATTCGAAATTCCAACTGGTAAGCAAGGAAACAGAAAATGGCGGCATAAAGGTAGCATTTATCTAACTTAATACTTATTCAACTTTTATATTATACTTTTAGGAAAAAACAGTTGAAATCGCAATCTGTAATAGATTGCAGACTAAATTTTATTAAATAATCAAATAATAATGTTCCTTCCGTTTGCTTTAGTCCTTTTATTATGTTATCAAAACTGAACTGTTTGGAGAAGTTTCGAAAAAGTATTTCAAGACAAACTTCCTCAACTCTATTCGATTTTACTAAAGACACTTAGCTGAGCAATCAATTAATTTGGCTGTATATCCGAAACGAAGTGGCCCTGTACTAGACATCAAAAGCCCAAACTATTAATTTAGATTTCATATCAAGTCGAGCAGAGAAAAGAGACGAACACGAGGTGGCTGCCACAAGTCAACATGTGTCAATTACCACTTGACTTTGTTTTGACAGCATGAGAAATGGGTTGCAAGTGACATAGCAAATGGTGGCGCCATACCGCTGGCATACATATATTTTTCACGAAACATACATACATATATACATACGTATGTACATTATGATAGGCAGCAGAAATTGTCTCAACCGTTGTGCTTGATTTATGCGATACATTTTCTGACAAAAAAGTTTACCTCTGCCCATACTTAAATATTGTTTACTTATTTGATATGGAGTGTGCAAAACCACATTGGCAGCCATTCAAGCGCAATTTGAATTCATTATGTGCATGTGCTAATTAATTGATGACCACAAAAATTTTAATAATATGTCACAGCTGCATGTGGCCACATCTGGAAAGTGGGGTTCCGGGTTTGCCGCTTGGTCTCTCTGAGATCAAATGGGAATATAAATGAATAAACATTAGCTTTGTCGTGGTGATTAAAATGTAATTAGCTTGAATAAACCGCAATACACTCGACTAACTTGATTAATATATCCCATTGTGTGTTTTGGGCATTAATTTTCAGAAAAAATAAAACTTACAACTACTTGTTCATGTTCCATTCGGCATAGATTCATTAAAATTGGAATAATTTATGCAGCTCTTTAAAGGACGCTGCATATGAAAATGTACAAGTTTAATTAGAGAATTAGTCTGATTTCTATATCAATATATTAAAACTGTGTTCAATTTATGAACTGTCTTTAAAGCATTTAAAATATATCGACTTAATAAATAGAGTGTGCCTCGGAAGAATACTTTACTTTCATACATGAAGGACATAAAAATAAAAATGTAAATATAAAATATGTTTTGCCCTTAACGGGCAATTAGCAGTTGGTAAATTTAAGTTGAATAGAAAAGATAAAAACACAATGAACAGAAAAAAGCTTATCCCCAATTTGAAAGGCATTTCAATTTCGCCAAGTGATTTGTTACTTTATATGTTTTTAATTTTTTTTTTTTTTATTATTATTATTTTGATTTTTTCTTTACATATTTAGTACTACTTTGTTATATTCTTGTAACTAGGCCAATCAATCAGTTAATTAAGTGACTGTTGAACATCCACTTTCAGGAACAATGAGAATGTAAATGCAACTAAACAAAAGTTAAGAAATGCTTATAGCCTAAATATATGGTATACGGAACGATCAACACACTTACTGGCCATTAGACTGGAAAGCCAAAGGAATGGGGCCCAGCAACTCATTTGTATAAAGAAGGGTAGTAAAATATTTCCTGTAACCGAACCCAAACGGCCGAATGTCATGATCAGCAATAGAACCATTGTTCTGCAAAGCATAGCCATATTAAGCCTTAATTAGTTAATTAAAAACTACAGTCATACCTCATCAATGTAGGAAACACGACCACACACATGCCAATAACCGTGGACGCACAAATGCCCATGACCGTCAAATAGACCGCGGCTATAATAAGCGTTGCCAGCGTCGACGTTGCAAAGTAGAGACCACCCACCAGGAAAGTGCATATAAAGAGACTGACCTCTGTGCAGGATAAACAAAAACAGTGGCCAATAAACATATGCGAATTATGCAGACTCACTTAGTATGTGGTTGGCGACACCGCGAATGCTTAGCAGGGGGAAGATGAGCAGGAATCCAACTAGGCCAATGCCTGCCACAATTATGTTATCCCTATATGTTTCCGGTTGCTGATGCTATACGTGTTGGGTTCATTACTTTAATGCTTGAAACTTTGGTCAATAGACCGCCTACCTACTATGTCGCATTCCTCCCTCGTTGCGGTCGTACCGTTGCGCCGCAACAAATTTAGTCCCAGGACCGCGCACATACTCCTGTCGCTGATTCCCTGCACCTCAAAGGTATGCATTGTGGCAAAGATCTGTGGCAGCCATAGGCGCACCGAATTCACGCTGTCAATACATAATTACTGAGCAATCATAAGCGAGGCATGTTATAGAGATGGACGCGTGACATGGCCTTAAGTGGACAAAAATTTCCCAAAGCTCACGAATAGTTTTTTTTTTTTTTTAAGATTAATAGTAAATTTAAATCTAATACAGTTTGCGAAAGACGTCTAAACAATTGTTATACAAAATTACTATGGAAGCAAAAAAAAGTTACGTATATGATTTTTACTCCTGACTCTACCTAGTAAAAAAAAACCTGAACTTGAAAAAAAGAAATATAAGGAGCAATTAATAGTAGCTGTACAAAAAAAGTTTCTGCTAAATCTCCTCCACTATTTATCTCAACTAATTATCTATGCAAAAATAAATAATAATAACTAATATCTTCGAGAGCCTTTAGATATTATGATATATCCACTTGGCACTCTGATATATGAAATTGTTAAATTGATTAATAATATTGAAAATTTCTGTGCATGTTACGCGCCCATTTCTAAAGCGAATTTACCACATGATTTGGCAAAAGTGCAGGCAATACACCCGCGCGGATAATCCCAGATAGGGAGTGGTACACATGGGCTTCAGCTGTTTCAGGCCATCGATAAATTTACGCTTGGTTTTACGGAAGCGCAGCGCCACCGAGTCACGTTTGCTCGGATCCTGAGCCTCGTCGGTTCGCTCGGGCGTGGCATCCGTCAGAGTTTTGATCTAATCCAGTTTATATCGGATGTATAGGCATAAAAGCATAAATTAAAGGCTTATAGCTAACTCACCGGATAGGTGTCGCGGCTCTTGCGCTTATTCACCGCATAGATGCGCTGCAGGGAAGCCAGCGCCTTGGTGTAGTAGCCCTGGGACATGAGAAACTTGGGGCTCTCGGGCAGAAAGATGTGCAGAAAGCCACTCAACAGGCTGGGCACTGAGGTAAGCGCCAAAAAGACCTGCCAAGTGTGAACTGTATAGGTAGATTTGACTCAAGTTAGATTTTGTTAATCAGCATATCATTAATCAACCTACAGCGCAGAGTTCCAACTGTAAAGTAAATGTGCACTGGCAGCATAAAATAGGCCATCGTTGGCAATGTCAGGGCACCGATGGAAATACTTAAGCCGACGAACAGCATAATATAGTGCCTGTGCTGCCTGCCATGGAATTCGGCCAAATAGCTGACAACCACCGCAAATGGACCGCAGATACTGTAGAGAATCAAAAATAGTTTGGATAAGCACAGTATATGCGATTGGCTCGATACCCACACTAGTCCATCGAAGAACTTGAATAACATCAGCTGCGAAGAGTTTTGACTTAGGGCCGAGCACAGCACACAGATACCATCAATCCAACCGCCAGTGATGAGAACCAGGCGACGTCCCATCGTATCCGCCACAAAGCCCCACGGTATGGCCGAGATAATCATGCCTGCAGAACTGCATTAGAATTTTTCCTATATGGGATTTATATGCGTTTTATATGCTTTACCTGCATAGGTCACAGCATTCATCAGACCCTTGTCCAACACGGTCAGCTTCAGCTCACACTCAGCTGTTGGCATTACGTACGACATGGACGAGGCAGAGAAGACCATGGCCGATAGACAGGGCATGGCACAGATCATAATGAGTACATTGAATAGCCCAAAACCGCATTCGGCAATCGCCGTCTCGAAATCCGCAATTTTGTCACCCGAATTTCCTGCTTGAGCCATCTGAATCGTAAGTATATATATATATATGGGCTTGGTTTTAACCAATTCCCACTAAAATTGACAAAACTAATTTAGAAAATAAATTGAAGGCTTTCTAGATTCACACATTTAAAGAATTATATGTTTGTGCTTACCCAATTAACTGATCGAAGATAAAATGTTTATGAATATACATATATACGATCAAGATAACTAATTACGTTGATCCAGCCATGTCCACAAGTTGTCTATCTGTATAAACATTCCAATTTTAGAAATCACATCAACTTAGGAATTTAAACTTGAAACACAAGTATATTCCGTGTATCACATACATAACATCGATATTATGTATGAAGTAGCTTCAATGTCATCTCTTATTCCTGAAATATCAAAATAATCGGATAATAAGTCCCGGCTATTGCCAAATAACTTGGCTAAATAAAGAAAGAAAAGCCACTGCCTCGCAGCTAGATTCAGGGTATCTCAAAGTCGGTCACTGGGCACGTCAGTTTTTTTTTTTATTTTCATATTTAACATTCTGCACAACCAAATGAATTAATTCCACTATTCAATCAATTTCGCATCGTTCGTGCCGCATTTTTTCGAGCGCACTGATTTCCATACAAGATTCTCCTTAACTCCCGAAATAATTGGTGTTAATGAGATTGGCATATTGATATTTTCCATTGGCTTCGTGCTTATACTCATCGTTTTTGTATTTGTTTATTTATGCTCATGCACTCAAACATTAAACTTCGCTGTCGGGCTTATTTTCCATATTTATCAAGTGAGTCCATAAATGAATTAATTAAACAGTTTGATAAATAACATTTCTGGGATTCCGCAATTAAATATAATTTGCATAGGCATTGACTGCAGCGCAACTTTATGTGGATCTATAATATATGCAAGAGTATATGTCCATAATCCCTTCAATATCCAATCAGCGATATAAACTTAAATAACTTAAGCGCTCAATATGAATTTCCTAGAAATTATGTTTGCATGCAATACTAATTTAAATGCATACAAATTTAATATATAATATTATTTTTTTATTTCAGCGTAACAAGCTGACATAATAAACAAAATGCAGAAGCACAATATAATAAGCCGATGAAGCAGGAATTTCCGTAGCTATATGCAAATTTATTCATTTATAATTTTAATAAAAATATACAACAAATATCTAACTTAGGATCTTAAGCCGATCGGCAAAATAGCTTATGCAAGAGTATAAAAATGTTCAGAACTTATCGTAATATTCAATTGAAGCAAGGATTAGGAAGGATTTACATTTAAATTTGTTAACAATCGAATAAAAAAAACTTGACAGATATTTTTATGCATGCATGTATATAAGTTTATTTCACAGTATATATTTATAAGTATATATATGCATTTGATACGACAAAAGACGAACGCTTATTAACAATAAACTAAACGGAAAAATAACACTTCCATATAAGTATAAATATTTACACGCTAAGTTATACATACAATACTTTTTACAAGTTAAGGACTACAGAAAAATAGTAAAGTGCAATTGTTTGTAATTGAATAAACAATCGTTATAAAACGATTCAAAATGCAATTCTAAAAGCCGGACAGTATGTAAACATTTAAGAAAAGGCCGCTTTTGTGGGATTGGGAATGAAAATTGAGAGCACGCCAGCAACTGTAAATAAAAATATCAAAAATATGTTTAAAATGCAATTACGACAATAAGAAAAATTCTAATTTGGCAAACATACGCAACATGACGGACGCGACCATCACAAAGGGCGGCACACAGCCGATTTGTATTAAAACCGGAAACAGCAGATTGCCGGAGAGTGCGCCCAACCGACCGCACATCATGGCAGTGGCCACCACCAATGAGCTATAATATAAATAAATTTTAGTTATTGCATAGATCAGTACGTGGAAAAGTGTATCTTACCGCAACTGGGTGGGAAAGAGCGCTACAACGGCGCCCAACAGAGAGGACACGGCAATGCCCGCCACAGTGACAAAGGCCGAAGAAATTATAATTGTCGAGATACTGTTGATGGACCAATAGAGCGCTAGGCCAAGGACACCCGATATGAATAGACCGTAAGCTACAAGAGAGATAAAATAAAAAATATGAAAAAATGAAGAAAAGAAAAAAAAAACAAGAAAGAGTGCTCTAGACGGGAGTGCCCATTCACAAGACACCCTGAATCTAGCGTCGAGCTGTCATTAGAAGCTTTCGCATCTTTCTCTTGTCATATGTATGTCCACACACACACACATCAATCTGTAGCATCAGCTCTGCTTCGGCGTTCCTAAGCCACATACTATGAGACATGCAGTCGTGTTAATATATACGCGACTTACTATATTATATTAAATTATATTATCGGTGTTAACTGTTCGATTCTAAGGACATTTGTAGGGCCCAAATATGGCAACCAGATATATTTATGTAACGATAAGCAAGGGTCTACCGTTAATGAAGGGTTATGAAGGGGAGTGTCAAAAAACTGAAATATTCCCAATCTGTTTATACTACTTATACGAGAACATACAAACAAAGTTTGATGCATCCAGCTCTTATAATCTTCGAGTTGTCACTTAAATCCCACTATTGTGAACCCGGAAGGAGATAATTGCTATGGCAACTATATATTGTATAGTGATCCTGCTGGCAGCAAAGAGATATGGATTCATTCGTACATAGTTTTCCCATCTTTGATTTTATACAAGAATACTTATACGCAAATCGTTACTTATTTAATAAAACTTGTAAAAGATATACAAATGTAAATATACAAATATATTTTTGTTGGTGCTAGAGTAAATATAAATAAAATTTAAATAAAAATAATATGACTTACTTAGCAAACGCTTGGCACCAGCCATACGTATTATAGCTCCAGCAAAGAAATAACCAGCAAATCCACAAGCCGACACGATAATGTTGTTGATATACATATCCATAGATATCGTTTGGGGCTGTAAGAGAGACAGACAGAGAGAAAGTTAGGGTTACAACGGCTGAAGAACGCAAGAAAATAAAGAAACAGATCCCTTAACTAGGTTGAATAATTGTTCGCACCTCAGAACAGGCATTATTGTAATCCGTCAAGGTCTCAGCTGTTTTATTGACGCTGTACTCAAGTATGGTGCACATGCTGGCGGAGTCATCATCATTGGCATGCGCAGCCTCATAGTTGGCCATTGATGCGAACAACTGGGGCAGCCAGAGACGTATGGTGTTCATGCCCAGAAATATGCAGAACTGCATCGTGTAGCAGTGCATCGAGAGGCGCAGCAGGGGCTTGTGGAACATGGGCTTCATCTGTTGCATGCCGGCACGCAGACTCTCCAGCAGAGTGCGCGAGGGTCGCTTTGTGGCTGCCTTCACCGGCGGCTTCTCCTCAATCGTGTAGATAACCTCATCCACCTGAGCATCGCGACTGGGCACCTCCATAACAAGCGTTTTAATCTGTGGGGTTCAGAAAAAGAAAAGATCAACTGTCAAACTGTATCATACTAGGGCGTAAATATACCCACTGGATAGGTGTCCTTTGGCTTGCCCGTATTGATCTGGTAGATCTTTTGCAGCACCAGCAAGGCCTCCGCATTGCGGCCCTGTGCCATTAAGAATCTGGGACTCTCTGGCATGAAGCACATTATGAGACCGCTTATCAAACTGGGCAAACCGCATATAAACAAAAAGATCTGCCAGTTGTGAACTGAAATAACACAAAATGCATTAAATAAAAATGTCATAAATACACCCGTCGTCAACTTACTGTTAAGACTGCCAAAGAACACAAAGTCCCAGTCCCGGGGAAAGGTGGCCCAGGCCAGCAAGGGTAGCAGCAATGTGGAGGCGCTTGTTATCATACCCACAACCATCAGCACATGAGATCTGTGTTTGGGTCCATGCATTTCCGTCAGATACGTAAAGAGCACAGCTGCCGGGCCGTTGACACTGTAAGCCAACATAATCTCTGAACTAATAAAATAGATAGCGCCAGTTACTTACATAAGGCCACCGAGAAACTTGAACGTCACCAGCATTATAAAGTTTTGGCTCAGCGAGCTGCCAAACACACAAATCGAGGTCAACAAATAGCCATAGACGAGCACCTTGCGACGTCCCTTCGTATCGGCCAAATAGCCCCAGGGTATTGCCGATATAATCATGCCCGCATATGCACAAGCATTCAGTATGCCCTTATCGGTTAATGTTAAATGAAGATCACACTCGGCTATAGGCAGAATATACGACATCGTCGACGACTCGAACATATTCGCACAGGTCGCAGGTATTGCCATTATCAGTAGGATTAGATTAAAGCGTCCAAAGCCAGATGCTATCATAGCCTTGTCAAAATCAGCTGGCTCATCCTCTGGAGCGCCGGCTGAGGCTACCGCAGTGCTGTTGGAATTGCCATCTGTATCGGCATCGGAGTCTGCAAATGTTTGGATTAAAATATTAGCCCATAAATTCTATTGTAATTTGTATTATTTTTTTTTTTGGGTATCCAGTTGTGCAGTTTTTTTTATTTTATTTTTTATTTAAAATAAATAATAATATATGCTTTTTAAAGAATTCATCAGCATTATTTTTTGATATCACTTTAATATAATGCAATTTTTTTTCCATTTTTGCTTTATCTTTATAATTTTAAATGTTGATTTTTTTTTATCTGATAAAACACAATTTAAAGATGTCTTTTAGTTATCTTCGATTTTAATTTTAACAAGTCATTGCTTAATTTTTTTTTTTCATTTCATTTAAATTTATGAATATTAAAAATATTAACCACCTTTTGCTTTGTCGCGGTTGACACTTTCAATATTGTTCTCGGCCATATTTTTGTACTATACGATTCCTTATGGTTGTTATGAATATCACAATTTCTTTTAAATAAGTAATTTATGGCACCAGTCAATTAAAAATGTCCCGTTTCGTTAATTGAAATGCGCATTACAATTAATATACTATATAGTTATTAATTTATCACAGATGTTTTTCACGATTTCCAAGCACTTCGAGCACTACGCGTGTCAGCTTGCAAATGATTCGCTGTTATGAATGACACTAGGTTTTTATCAACTTGTGCAGTGGAAAATTGAAGATTCATTTAAATTTTACACTTTCTTATCATAGATTTCACAGCGTCAACTTGCTTTCGTCGGCGCTGCCATAAAGATTATAATCGCATAAAAATTTATTTAACCCACTAAAAACGTTAAATTTAAACTCCCCTACACAATCAGCTTATTTACATTGCATTATATTATATTATATCGAAAAATGTAAAAATGGGTTATGTGGGGCCCACGAAACCAGGTGTGCAGACCTTGTGCCATAGCTATAACTAAATTTTTTTATTCATTAAAATTATATATATTTTGTGAGAAACGTTTTGATTAAATTCGTATTTTACAAAATCTAAATTAATTGGACAACTACAATTCTTGGCCCAACATGGGCTAAACTCAACAAGTATTTTTTCTAGACATTCTCCAGTCTTATGCAGACCCTAATCAACGCTTAGCTAATCAGTGAGAGCCCCAAGCAATGATAAGCTATAAGGTAGCAACTACGATAGCTTTGGATAACTGACGATTTGGTGGGGGGCTGGGGAACACGTGTTAAGCACGGCGTGTCCTGACTTAGCAGTTATGAATGTTTACCAAACTACTTACATGATTTGTTTATTAAAGAATAATAATAGCCATAAAAATATAAATGAATGGTTGGCCGGGCAACATTATCATTATTAAAGATACGTCACCCAATTGTGGATAGTAGCTTGGAGCTACTTATGAGAAGACGTACGACAGATTCTGATGACGAATGCGGCACATTTTACGTTTCGGCAATGACTGTCAGAAAGAAGAATTTACAGATTGCAGCTTAAACGACGCTTATTTCAATGTGCATTATAAACATGTCATAGAAAATATAATAAATTTATTTCTTATACTTATAATTATGGTACAGTTCTTTATTTTATATATTTCAGGTAAGCCTAGGCAGCTTTGCTAGACTGACAATATATCTCTCCAGCACATATATATATATGTATATATAGATGTCTGTGTCTCAGTCAATGGCATCCACCAGCTTGCACATCATGCGATCATGCTGATAGCTTGGATCGTTTTTAGCCGCCGCATTTGAATCCAAGGGGTCCACTTCCATTTTGACTTTGGCGCCGCCATTCTCATCCTCGTCAAATAGCGTGGGCAGTGCAGAGAAGGCGCTGTTGACAATATCACGAACACGTTCCAAATGCTTCTGAAAACGCGTAGCCGTCTCGACGCGTTGCCTTTTCTGCATTTCCATCATCACACGCAAAGTTTCGCGAGCCTGATGGGGTCTGAACTCATTTAATAAATGATGCATATTCACAAAGAGCAGACTCAGGTCATCAATCTGTGCATAGGAAACATATCAATTAGATATAAACAACATGGACTTATCTACATACTTTCTCTGTACGCCTGGGACTGTCTGGATTTAATATCAAAAAGTCAATAAGATCCAAAAAATTGACGAGCAGCGAGTGATTCAGCTTCTTGAGCTCCTTCCGACGGTCAAAGTGAATGGGTATGAGACGTTTGATGTTCTGCGATTCCAGAGAGCGTATCATCTCGTCGTTGTTGTACTGTATGCCAAACATGCTGTACACTTCATGTTGTGATGGCGGTGGAGGCGGCCGCGGTGCCCGATTTCTCCTTATGTTCTCCTCCGTGTAGTTGCTGATGTACCGCTCCGGCGGCATAGGCAAACTAGAAACCTGTGTTTCAGGGGTCGACATCTTGCGCGTCTATTTTTTTAACCGGTAGCACTTTTAGGATGTGTTTATTTTATTAAAAACAAATAAAAAATACATTGATGGCAGTGTGACCGTTGGCGAAAATCAGTAAAAATACCCAAATAAAAATACCAAACCTAAATCGAATTAAAATACCAAATTTAAGTTGGTGCCAATTAACAAATTCTTTATTATGATTCCCAACACATTTTGCTTAAATTCCTGATTATTTAATTTGGACCTTCCAAAAATACAATTTTTTATCAGATGCTGCACTTATATAAGGTAAGCGATGGTGCCAAGCCAGACCACCATAGGTTTTCAGAGGCGACTCAACTAGGGGCACCGTAGACTTTGCCACAAAAACTTTCAATGTAAGATCCGGACGACCAATGCTGGCCATTGCGATCTCTGTGCTGCCTGGAGCGAAGCGCACAATGCGACCGCCATCTTCGTGCACCTGCTTAATATCGGCTGGGACAAATGGACGGCTCAGATCCCAAGTGACAATATCTCCGCCAGCCAAAGCCGTTACAAACAGCCTGTTGCTGTTTGCCCAATCCGCGGACATTAGCGGAAATTTCGGCGATTCAACGGACACAACCGTTTGCTTGCTGCGCACATTATACAAATGGATAATACCTAAAGGCAAGTGTGTTAAAAGATGCTCCAATAAACAATCATAAATAAACCATACCACGCTTCTCAGCCACAAGCACTTTGTTGGGATCCTCTGGATGGCTTTTAATTGAAACGCCCGCCGATGACAGGCAGAAGGTGATAACGTTCTCAAAGGTCGTTGTGACGTTCCAAAACTTGCAGGTGAAGTCATCGCTCACAGAGGCTAGCAGCTCGCCTTCGCAGACCCAGGCAATGTCGTTTACATAATTGCTGTGTCCTCGCAAGGATTGCACGCTGCTGAACTGATTTAGGTTCGTGTGGAAAAGTGTCATGCCGCACTTCCCAATCGATGTGCAAATGGTTACTTTGTTTGGGGTGCAGTTCAGAGAGGTATCTGGCGAGAAGGCGATTTTGTGACAGCGGGCGTCTTCGTCTGGTATCTCCATGTCCTGTAAATGATTCCATACGAAATCGCCACTCTCCTCCTAAGCATAAAAATGGATGATAATGGATATACTTTATTGTTGTATTTCTGGTACTTGCCGGCAAACTAATTAATATCAACGAGAGATGTTTTTGTTGAGCAACACAGATCAGGTTGTAGGCAAAGTCGTTTTCGCATATTTCGTAGCAACTGATGGCTTCGCCCATCAATATGCTGTGATCGGGATCTGTTACTGTTCGCATTTTTATTTATATTATTAATAATTGTAAAAGATGCAACAAATTGCCGGCGCCAATATGTTTACGCATGTGTTGAACAATTTCGCTTCAGATTGCCACAAGTTGGCAGCCTTGCGACATGACAACACTCATGTTAGATAATCGACGCCAACTTCAGTTTTTTTTTTTTAAATGGTTAACAACACTGCTCACAGCAAGCGTAGCCGAGTTCGCTTTTCAAACATTCACTTCCTTTCTTTCTGTTTCAGCGTCTGAAGTGAACGGACGTCATGGTGAGTCTAGCTCCGTAAAAATAAATAATAAAAAATAGAGAAATTCTTTAAAATATAAGTAAAAGATTAAATATTTACGATAAATGAATAGTGATATGCAGTGAAAGCATCGGTTAAAGTATCTTATGATGCTTAAGTGAATTTAGTTGTTTATAACTTTTGACACGTGTGTGCAACTATGCGTACATAACCTCAAAGAAAAAAAAAAAAATGAAATTCTCGATAGTAAATGCCTTAATAATCAAGTAATTTTGTGAAACTTCCATTTGCAGTCTCATCGTAAATTTTCTGCACCTCGTCATGGCTCCATGGCCTTCTACCCCAAGAAGCGCTCCTGCCGCCATCGTGGCAAGGTTAAGGCCTTCCCCAAGGATGATGCCACCAAGCCAGTGCATCTGACTTGCTTCATCGGCTACAAGGCCGGCATGACGCACATTGTGCGCGAGGCTGATCGCCCTGGATCAAGTGAGTAATCTTTCTTTTTTTTTTTAATATATTTATATCGAATTTTCCATGATGAGAAACAGTTAAAATTTTTATGGTTAGAACACAAATGATCAACTGTGATTATGACTTAACTAGGGCGGACTGATTTGCATAAAGCAAAACCCTGAATTTTTGGTCGCCTGAAAAACACGTGCTTAACCTCAAAATTCATTTTTGTTTTACAGAGATCAACAAGAAGGAGGTCGTCGAGGCTGTGACCATTTTGGAGACGCCACCAATGATTGCCGTTGGCGCCGTTGGTTATATCGAAACGCCATTCGGTCTGCGTGCTCTGGTCAATGTCTGGGCCCAGCACTTGTCTGAGGAATGCCGTCGTCGCTTCTATAAGAACTGGTATGTAACAAAATGTCGGACGCACTTTTTTTTTTCTTTTTAAATGGTCGCACGCGTTGCAAGTTGCACGTGCTGCATGCTGCTGGATGATGATGAGATGGTATCTGAATGACCTTTGTCGAAAAACCTACTACCATTTCTGCTGCCTTCCTTCTGATCGCAGTTGCAATACAAGTTGCACTTGCTGCGTGTGCGATGCGGACCATTATTTAGACGTTAACTAACTTAAACGAAACTTATAAAGTTCTTGGATCAGTTCGCTGAGAGAGCTTTTCAAATCTATGCAAGTCGTGTGAGCTGCATTGACCAATAATGTGTCAATTGTGAGTAAGCACGTCATGGAAGATGTCATCTCCGCTCGCTTTCAATTGCGATGAGGTGCGCTTCCCGTTTTATCTTTCGCCCGCACAGACTTGATGCAGCGTTCGATCGATCGACTCCTCGGCTCTGTATTAATTCGCAACGTCTCCAAATTCGTTCCAATCAGGTACAAGAGCCAGAAGAAGGCTTTCACCAAGGCCAGCAAGAAGTGGACCGATGATTTAGGCAAGAAGAGCATCGAGAACGATTTCCGTAAGATGCTCCGCTACTGCAAGGTCATCCGCGTGATTGCCCACTCGCAGGTAATTATGCTCAATATGGATTAGTCTATTACTGCGCGACGTCCTTGGTCTTGTTGTGCCGACTGTGCTTCGCGGCCGGTCGGTGCGCCTGGCCTAAAAAGCATTCGCGCTGTGCCCCTCAATGCACAGTTCATGAATGCAACGTCGCAGATTAAATCGCCCTTCGGGTGGCGATGCTTGATATATTCCAGTAACGGTGCGCAGCCGCTCAGGCGATGAACGCACGGTTAAACCATATCACGCACAGTCCTAAAATATTGCAATACATTTTTTGGTAGTAACATTTTATTTACTCTTGTCGTACAGATTCGTTTGATCAATCAGCGCCAGAAGAAGGCGCACATCATGGAGATCCAGCTGAATGGTGGCTCCATTGAGGATAAGGTTAAATGGGTGCGTGAGCATCTCGAGAAGCCCATCCAGGTCCGCAATGTGTTTGGCCAAGATGAGATGATCGACTGCGTTGGTGTTACCAAGGGTAAGGGATTCAAGGGTGTCACCTCACGTTGGCACACCAAGAAGTTGCCCCGCAAGACGCACAAGGGTCTGCGCAAGGTTGCCTGTATCGGTGCCTGGCATCCGTCCCGCGTGTCCACCACCGTGGCACGTGCCGGTCAGAAGGGTTACCATCACCGTACCGAAATCAACAAGAAGATCTACCGTATCGGTGCCGGCATCTATACCAAGGATGGCAAGGTAAGCACACAAGATGATTTCATTTAATTCTCTCGCTCTCATTTTTAATGATGATAAAACCTTTAAAAATATTGACATCGAAGAAAATAAAAAAGGTTGATTAACCGTGATTTTTATAATGATAGGACTGATAATATTTGACCCAAGCCATTTTTCTTTTCTTAGTGTTCCACTTGTCTAATATATATTTCTCTGCTTTCCAATTTGCAGGTCATCAAGAACAATGCTTCCACAGAGTACGATTTGACCGACAAGAGCATCACGCCCATGGGTGGCTTCCCCCACTATGGTGAGGTCAACAACGACTTTGTCATGATCAAGGGCTGCTGCATTGGCTCCAAGAAGCGCATCATCACCCTGCGCAAGTCCCTGCTGCGTCACACCAAGCGCTCGGCTCTGGAACAGATCAAGCTCAAGTTCATCGACACCTCGTCCAAGATGGGTCATGGTCGCTTCCAGACCCCGGCCGACAAGCTGGCCTTCATGGGTCCCCTCAAGAAGGACCGTCTCAAGGAGGAAGCAGCTGCCACCACCAGCGCTGCCGCCGCCGCACCTACCACCGCCTAAGCTTTGGCGCAATCTTTGTAAAACATCAATACAAAATACACTTGTTTGGCTTATAGCTGGCTTCTACCGTCTGCTTTGCGGTAGAGTCGGCGCAATAAAGAAATGTGGTTTTGAATAAGCTAATAACAACTTAAAAGCAAATTGTGTATATATTTTGAGTTTATAAATAGCTAAACGCTCTTTGTGTAAGATTGCCTTGTATATAAACGTATTTATATGTATGTGCACATTCTTCATGTGCTGATAGTTCGTAGTCGTCAATTGGATTGGATAGCTTAATCATAAAAGTGCCATCTCCTTAAATCAAATCTCATTTTGATAAACGACAGATGCACCGAGTTATCTACTGCACATTTACTATGGCAACCCACAAGAATATAGCGTAGTATGGATTGCATTTTTTATTACGGTTTATCGATTATGTCATGATATTACACTTCAGATATCAATATAATCTTCTCTCTCTATATATATATATATATGTGATAGACCACTCCTTAGAACACCTTGATATCAGGAACAATCTTCTCGTTGTCGTAGATCTCCTTGGCGTAGCACAGATTGGGGTAGTCGAAGGCGGCACCATAGCGATTCTTGCAGCCCGAGGTGGCCTTATCGCCGGGGGTGTACACGGGCTGACCAATCACGTTGGTCGTGGCAAAGTTGCAGGTCAGCACAAAGTGGTTATAGTAGTCGCGAGAGAAGCGCACAGCGGCACAGCCCACATGGGTGTTCTTCTCGGACACGGCAATGGTGAACTTGGCCACTTTCTTGTTTGGCAAATCCTCTGGGAAGCTGGCCAGAATCTCGGGCGAAGCATTGACACGCTCGGCAAACCAATTCTCAATCTGCTCCTTGATGACCTCCGCATCGGTGTACTCGGACTCGGCACCGCTGTAGCTGAAAATGGCATTGTTCTGGCCAGCGTAGGCGAAGCGTTCGGTACTGCGGCACTTGTCTGGCAGTGACTGGCAAGTCTTCACATTGAAGAGGGCCAGATGGGTCAGCTCCTCGCACCACGTCATCTTTGCCATGCGTGCAGCCTTGGGCAGACCTTCGATTCCACCTCCGGCAACCTTGTTGCGCAGCTCATTGAACAGGGTCAGGATCAACTTCTCGTGTGGCTGAATGTTCACCACACGCACATCCTTGGGACATTCCTCACTAAAGTTCTGCAAGGCATTTGTGCTTAATTAGGGAGCTGGAGCGGATTAGATACTTACTCCTTTGTTATTGCAGCCTATGTGCTTGTCCAGGCAAGTGGGCAAGGCGCAGTAGTCAACTGAAGCGACTAGGCCGACTAAAGCTGTGGCCAGCAGTAGGAACGCGGATACTTTAGAGAACATCTTGTATGCTGGTTGTTGTCTTGCAACTGAAGAATGGCCACGAAAGTAGATCAATTTATACCCGACCGGGCTCCATTAGGTGAACAAAGAATCACACATGTGTGGGGTTATTACCAGGTAGTGAATCGATTCGCCAATGGCCGAGCACGCAGATGTTCGAATGGATTTGATTAAGCAGACATTCCTACTAAGCCCAGTTGTTATAATATACAGCTCAAGTTCTAAATAAACATGTATGCAAGCATGTGTGTGTGTGTGTGTGTGTGCGAATATGCCGTGATTCTAGGAAGATGTGTATCAAGCTTCTGTAACTGCTGTCACTCGGCAACATAAGTAATCCCGGCGCTATAAATAAGCGACTGTTTCACCAGTCAATCATCAGTTAAGAGTGAACCGTTGGTAAACACAACAGCCTTAACAATGCAAGTACTTCTCCTGTTGGCTCTCCTGGCAGGCATTGCCTCCGCTGTGGACTACTGCGCCTTGCCCACTTGCCTGGACAAGCACATAGGCTGCAATAACAAAGGAGTAAGTATCTAATCCGCTCCAGCTCCCTAATTAAGCACAAATGCCTTGCAGAACTTTAGTGAGGAATGTCCCAAGGATGTGCGAGTGGTGAACATTCAGCCACACGAGAAGTTGATCCTGACCCTGTTCAATGAGCTGCGCAACAAGGTTGCCGGAGGTGGAATCGAAGGTCTGCCCAAGGCTGCACGCATGGCAAAGATGACGTGGTGCGAGGAGCTGACCCATCTGGCCCTCTTCAATGTGAAGACTTGCCAGTCACTGCCAGACAAGTGCCGCAGTACCGAACGCTTCGCCTACGCTGGCCAGAACAATGCCATTTTCAGCTACAGCGGTGCCGAGTCCGAGTACACCGATGCGGAGGTCATCAAGGAGCAGATTGAGAACTGGTTTGCCGAGCGTGTCAATGCTTCGCCCGAGATTCTGGCCAGCTTCCCAGAGGATTTGCCAAACAAGAAAGTGGCCAAGTTCACCATTGCCGTGTCTGAGAAGAACACCCATGTGGGCTGTGCCGCTGTGCGCTTCTCTCGCGACTACTATAACCACTTTGTGCTGACCTGCAACTTTGCCACGACCAACGTGATTGGTCAGCCCGTGTACACCCCCGGCGATAAGGCCACCTCGGGCTGCAAGAATCGCTATGGTGCCGCCTTCGACTACCCCAATCTGTGCTACGCCAAGGAGATCTACGACAACGAGAAGATTGTTCCTGATATCAAGGTGTTCTAAGGAATGAGAGAAGGGGCGCATTAATAGTTGATGATTCACAATTTCGAAATGTAATACAAAGCCTTTAATTTAATAAAACAAAAATGCATTTGAATGAAACATAGAAATAACGACATTAAAACCCCTTTCTATTTTGACTTTTAAACAAGTTGGCAGTTCCAACGAATTGAGTAAAAAAATATGTTACGCGAGGCGCTGCGAATCGGCAGCAGGCGCAGCTACAGCTACAAATCTGTGCGTCGTCCTAATCTTAGTGCGGTGTCTGGCGCCAAGCATGTGGATGTGCAGGATAAGCAAAAGCCGGAACAGACGGTGACCACACAGTCTGATGGCAATGGCAAGACTACTCTGACCAGGCAGCTGACGGCCAAAATGCTGGCCACGGGACCGATAACCGTGGCGGAGTACATGCGCGAGGTGCTGACGAATCCGCAAGGCGGTTACTACATGAATCGGGATGTCTTTGGGCGTGAGGGTGACTTCGTAACATCGCCGGAAATTTCACAGATCTTCGGAGAGGTGATTACTGTGCACTTAAACTGGTCCAATTTAAATAATAATAACGTTCCCTGCTGCTAGCTTGTGGGTGTTTGGTTGATGAACGAATGGCAGAAGCTGGGCAGCCCATCGCCTTTTCAGCTGGTCGAGTTGGGACCAGGACGTGGCACACTGGCGCGCGATGTGCTCAAGGTGCTGTCCAAATTCAAGACGGGCGCCCAGTTCACCATGCATATGGTCGAGATTAGTCCGTTTCTGAGCAAGGCGCAGGCCCAACGGTTTTGCTACAAGCACGAAACGGTGCCGGATGAGGCGCAGCTGCCATACTACCAGATTGGCACCACGGCCAGTGGCACCCAAGCATATTGGCACCACCGGCTGGAGGATGTGCCGCCGGGATTTTCGCTGGTGCTGGCGCACGAGTTCTTTGATGCGCTGCCCGTGCACAAGCTGCGGCTGGTTAACGACCAGTGGCAAGAGGTGCTCATCGATGTGGCCCAGGCTCAGAGCACGGGCTCAAAATCTGCTGATTTTCGCTACGTTGTATCCAAGGCGCAAACGCCAGTTTCGCGTTTATTTAAACCTGTGCCGCAGGAGACGCGCAACTACCTGGAGTACTCGCTGGAAGCAGAGCGCCATGTGGGCATTCTGGCGGAACGTTTGGAGCAGCACGGTGGCATTGCGCTGATCATGGACTACGGCCACTTTGGCGATAAAAAGGACACATTTCGCGGCTTCAAGCAGCATGCACTGCACGATCCGCTGCTGGCGCCGGGCACAGCAGACCTTACAGCCGATGTGGACTTTCGGCTCATCAAGCACGTCGCGGAGACGCGCGGTCACATTCACTGCTGTGGCCCAGTGCAGCAGGGCGACTTTCTGAAGCGCATGCAGGGCGAGGTGCGCCTGGAGCAGCTGCTGGCCCATGCGCTGCCCGAGAATCAGAACATTATACGCTCCGGCTATGAGATGCTGACCAATCCCAAGCAAATGGGCAGCCGCTTCAAGTTTCTGGCCATGTTCCCGGGCGTAATGGCTGACCACCTAGACAAATATCCTGTGGCGGGCTTTGGATAATATAACTTTTGTATTTATATATATATATGTAATCTGTTCTATACATGATCTACTGTTAATGTTTCAATCGAATGCTATTTCTTCTGGAATGCTGCGTTAATGGTCTGCATCTCGGCACTGGTGAACTGCAGCACAGCGCTGATGGCGTTCAACATGTGACGCTTGTCATCGGCATCCCGAGTGACAATGAAGCTAATGATGACGTTCTTTAGGTACTCCAAATTGGCGCCTTCGCGCGTCTTGCAGCGCTCCAGTCTGCAGTGGAAGAATAAAAATGAAATAAGCGCGCGCTGGATTTTCCTGGGGTCGCGACTCACCTGTCCACCTGCTCCTCGAGCAACTCGATCTTCTCGTGCATCTCCTGCTGTGCGGTGACCTTGTCCTGTATGGCCTTGCGCAGCGTGGACTCGGCCGCATATTTGGATTTGCGTAGCGTTGTGATTTCAATGTCCTTTCGCGCCAGCTCATTGGCATAGTGTAGCATGTGACAGTTTTCGCTCATGGACAGCTTTTTCGGCTTCACCTTCAACTTTGCCTCGCGATCTCCGTCCACTTCAACACTGTCTGCGTCCGAGGAGTAGCCGAACGCTTCACTGGCCTCTAGGGGCGATGTGTTGGGCTTGTGAAACACCTCGAAGGAGGTTTGCAGCGTCTTAATCTCCTGCTCCTTCTCGTCGAGCAACTGTAATGAACGCTGCCGCTGCTTTTGGAGCAGCTGCTCCAGCTCGTTAAGCTTGCAGCGCGTTTCGTTCTCCAGCTCCGCTTTTGCCTCCTGCCACTTGGCGCGCTCGTTCTTGAGCGCTAAACGCATCTTGTCGCCCTGCTGCTTCAGCTCCTGCTCGGCCTCATCTATATTCCGATTGAGCACCTGCACCTTGTCCTGCAGCGTCTGTATGTGCGTCTGTTGCAGACGAATCTTCTGTTCTAGCTGCGAACGCTGCTGCTTGCCGTTCTCCAGCAACTGCTGCAAGCTTTGCAGTTGTTGCTCGCAGTGCACGTGGGTATCGGTGGTTGCGGACGCATTGCTGCCGCCCAGCACCTGGCTGAGGTCCATTGGATTGGAAGAGTGCGCATTGGCATTGGCCAGCAGCTTCTTTAGGCGCCCAATTTCATCCACCAGAGCACTCATGTCAGCGTCGCTTTCGTTAAATAGTCGCGACGCGGGCGCTGGGCGGGTTTGAGCCTGCTCAAGCTCGTGCAGCTGCTGCTTCAGCGCATGTATGCTGTCCTGATCCTGTTGACGCAAGCGATCGTAATTTCCCACCGTGCTGCTCAGCTCGGCTAGGCGTGCCTCCAAATTGGCCACTCGATCCTCGTGCAGTGCTGCCTGTCGTCGACTTTGCTCTTCGGCGCGCAGCACGCGTCGCTGCTCCTGCTTGATGGCCACCGAATGCTGCTCCTTGAGCTGCTGCATTTCCTGGCGCACCTGCTGCAACAGTGCGCTGCTGTCTGTGGCCGCGGCGGCGGCCGTCGATTGGTCCGCCTTCGACTGGCATTGTTTCAGTTGGGCTCGCGCCTCCTTCAGTTGCAGCTGCAGCTCCCGCAGGCGACTGTTCTCGGCCTCGTTGCTGGCGAATTGCGTCTTAAAGTTGTTCAGCTGCATCTCAATGTTCTCCTTGAGGTGGCGCTCATCCGCATACAGCTTTTGTAGCTCACGCAGCATTATCATTTGATTGTTGGTCTCCTTTTCGCGTTCCTGTCGCTCGACGATCCACTTGGCCTTCACCTCATCCACGTCATTTTTAGCACGCTGCGCTTGCTCCTTGGCCTTGGCGTGCAGCTCCTGTATGTTCTGCTCCTTTTGCGCTATCTGAGCGCGCAACTGCTTCTTGTCCGCCTGGAAAGAGGCCTCCATGCGCGACTTTTCCGCCGACAGCGTGGCTAGAGAGTTCATCAGCGTTATGATCTGCGTCTGCAGCTGACCCCTTTCATCGTTGCCAGACGCATCGCTGCCATTACTAGTGCCAGTGGCAGTGGATTCATCGGCAGCATCCCCGCTGGCTTGGCCATCGGCTGCGACAGCGCCTGCGCCAGCACTTGCGTCTTTGACGCCCGTAGCTTCCGCATGCGCCGCCAGGCTCGTCTCTAGTGCTTCCTTCTCCTTGAGCAGCCCCTTGTATGCAGTGACCACGTCTGTACTTTCAAATAAATAATAAATAAAAAATATTTTTACTGCGCCATGGATTTACCCTTGAGTCGCTTCTCGTAGCGCGACAGTTGCTCCTTCTGCGTGGTCACCAGCGCCTCCAGCTCGCGCTGTCGTTTATCCATGTCGCATAAGTTCCAATCACAATTATAAACAAAGTTTTCTGCAACTCAAAAGCGAATTTATTTTTTCTCTCGTGGCATTTTGATACACATTTAACTAACATGAAAGCAGCTGCGACTTGATACCCTGTACCAAGCCCGTACGCTGGGGCGCTCTGTTATGCGGTCTAGAGCGTGTTATTTCGAATTATTTTGCGCTAAAAAAGCATTCAAAATATACATTTACTACGTGTAAAACATATGTAAACATCTGATATAATGGGTTGACAAAATTTGTTAGGCATAAAAATGAGAAATAAATCATTTTCTATACACATAAATGTCTTCCAATCCATTCCAGTTCTCGCAACACAAAAACTGCTTTTACTTATTTCGAAAAACTAATATACCCCATTTTATTTTCCCGTTTATTTATGTCAACAGCTGTCGGTGGTGCTGCCAACTAGTTTTATTAAATTACAACTTATGCTACACTTTTCAACGGTTATTCATCGCCTTCCTCTTTCATCATTTTTTCGATTAAACGTTTGCGCTCCTCAGCTTGGCGCAGCTTACGCATGACCAAGTCCTCGTAATCCCGTGTCGTTGCGCTGCTTGGCGTCGTTGTGGGCGTTGTTGGCCGTGATACCCACTGAAAGTGCAATGGGTTCCCTGGATTGCCTTTCTCATAGGCCAGCACCATGTCGCAGGCTTCGCGTGTGCTAAGCTCCACCATGGCACGGCCGCGTATTTTTGTGTTCATGACCAGAGCCACAACCTCGCCATATTTCTTGAGGTATTGCAAGAGCTGCTCGTGCGTGTAGCCGCCGTTGCTGGCATCGTTCTTATCCGCCTTCCATTTAATCTTTATGCGATGTTGCGCCGAGTCGAATCCGGCTGTTTGTTGCTTCTGCTGGAGCTGCTGTTGTTCATTGTAGTTGCGTTTAAGCTGCTCCCGCATTGCCCGCTGCTCCTCCTCCAGAAGCTTGGAGCCCTCGCGTCGCAAGCGTTCAATTTGTTCCTGCAGCACCTCCTCATCGCTCTTACGTATTGTGCTATACGGCTGACCAGCTTGCTGCTTGTCTAGCGCGGCCCGTTCTCGCTGCTCCAGTTCCTCCTTGAGCTTTTGTCTTTTGCTGTCTAGCTGTTTGGTGCGCAACTCTGCGGCCTTTTTTGCCTTGAGTACCTTGTCGTAGGCGGCGCGCGCAGTTACATCAGTAAGTATTTCCAGCGCCTTAGACAGCTCATGAAAGCGTTCCGCCGCTTGTGGATTGTCGGGATTCTTATCCGGATGGCAGTCGAGAGCGCGTTTTCGATACGCTTTGCGTATTTCAGCCTGCTCGGCTTCGATGGATACACCAAGCAGGTCATACAGGTTGACATCACTATACTTCTTGTTGGCCATGCTTTTAACTTTTTAATTCAGTTAAACCACCAATTCGCAAACGCTTGCGGTTTGTTTACAAACCGGCTAGAAACGCTTGCATGCCAGCTGTTATTTGTGACAGACTGGCAACCCGACGACCGTAAAGTGAGGCCCATTGGCATGCATCCCGTTTGCATTGTATGACTGATATCGCATGAGTGAGCGCTTGCAAGCCATTCAATAAGGGGCGGTTGTCAGGACTCTTATCAGGATAGGAGTCGTGTGCGCTTTTTACTTGCAATGTATTAAGGCAAAAATTTTAACAAGCGTTTTCGATTTGCTTACAGTCCGAGTAGAAATGATTGCAGATCAGCTGTTCTTAGCGACAGTCTGGCAACGTCGCAACCGCAACGTGTGGGCTATTGGCGTGCGTCTCATTTGTGTTATATGAATAATCAAGCATAATGCAATATCATAGATAGCAAGAGAAAGAGAGAGCGGGGACAGAATGAGTATCTACCACGACGAGGTCGAGATTGAAGATTTCGAGTACGACGAGGAGGAGGAGATGTATTACTATCCTTGTCCCTGCGGGGATCGATTTCAAATATCCAAGGTAAACGCGCATCAAAAACCAACTTTTGGCTGTTACTAATAGACGTTTTCTGCTGGACAGGAGGAGCTTATAGAGGGCGAGGAGGTAGCCACTTGTCCGAGCTGTTCGCTTATCGTTAAAGTTATATACGATGCGGTAGGTGTTTATCCATATAACATTAATAAATAGCTGCTTAACAGTAACATTTTAATTCATGTGAACGTCAGGACATGTTTAAAGCGGAGGAGGATGAGTCTGCGGCGCTTAATGAAAAGCTAAGCGAGTTGAAGCTGGAGAAAAATTAAGCCTCCAGTTGGTAATTAATTTGTATTTAAATAGGTTTTTATTTGTATACTTCCCTTTATTGTAAATAATATGCTGACTAGTAAACAATTAGATTAAAGTACACCTTAGCGAAAAAAATGTTTGGTTTGTGTACACTTTTTTGTTTAAATATAAATTGTTGTTTTAATATACAAATAAACTAAATATGCCAGACAGCCAATAAGCGCACAGATGGTCAGATAATTTAAGATATATTAACTGTGCTCCATTTAACGTAGCTTGTTCTTCTTATTGACTGATCAGCTTAAAATAAAAGTCAAATAAATATATTGCACTGAGCGCTATTCGGCTAGAAATGGTTGAGGTGAGCGCGTTGTGTTCAATTTGAATATATAAATTTTGAAACAGAAGGAACTATTTTAAGTACGAGTTGTGTGGAAATGTAAATAGTTACATGGAAATCGTGCCTTATGGACTGTGCTCGCCTTCACTTTCTGCTTATCAATTAGAAGTTCGACTTAAATATAAGCTTTAGATATTGTTTCAAGTCATGCAGCTTTTATAGAGAGCGTACTCCTTCAGCTATATTTGAATATACGCATAAATGCCGGCATGTAGGCGAAAAGTGGTTCATGTGCTACAGGGGGTAATACTTTGTTTCTTGAATGTGTTGATGTGCAGGTCCATATTACTGTTCCAGCCATGAACCAGTGATGTTATTTGGAGACTTTAGCTATAATTAATAAAAGACTAATGAGTGGTGTTAACAATACACATAGAAAGAATCACACTCACCTTAATGTTGAACTGCTTCAATGTGCTCTCTAGTGCCATGGCATTGCCTGAGAAGTACGCGGCAATGGCATTGTGCAACAGAATGAGCTGCTTGTGCATCACTTTGATCTGCATGGAGTTGGAAATGTATTCGCATTAGTTTAACATATATAATAGGCAGCTAACAAAACTTACGCGATTCTCATCGAGAAATTGCATTTTGATGGCTACATCACCACGCAGCTTTTCGTATTGATCCTTGTGATGCGCATAGCTGCGCTGGGTCTCTTCCAGAGAAGCCGCCGCTTGGGTTATTTCTGGCTTTGTGTTCTCCAGATCCATTCGATAGGCATCGAATTCAATTCTGCAAATATTAATGAATCAGTTGTAGGCATAATTTATGCTATATAGATTATATGGCTTTATCGGCCTACCTAGCCGTCTCGTATTGTCGTATCGTTAGGAGGGTATCATCTATGGTCTTGTTGCATAACGTATTCACCGATGAGATGAAAAAGTTTAACGCATTCAAGAGTAATTCGCCATTTTTGGTCAAGTTTCGTTGCGTCTCCGAATTGCAGATGAACTCCTTCTGCAGTTCGGGATTTTTTTGTGCCAAATCGGCGAAGGCGTCTGCCAGTGATTGCTGCGACACCACAACGTGTTGGAAATGTGAGCTGAAGGCGCGCGTCAATCGTAAAATGGACAAATATTTTCGTTGGGTCTCGCGCAGCTGTTCGATCTGCGCCTCCAGTTCCGAGTCGACGGTGCGCTGTGATTTCCCCAGCTTCTCGAGCATTATCTGACGCGTGCACTTATACGTTGATATGCTCCAGTTCTTGATGCTATCAATCTTGGAAGCACTCGTCCGTATCAGGCTGCTGCTGCCGTCTGCTGATGTTAGGAAACCGTTGCTCACTTGTGGACTTATAGGTGACATGGGTGTGGTGGGCGCTGCGGAAGGAATGCCGACACAAAATCGAAATGTTATCCACGAATCATGTATGTATAAGGATAAGCGACACACCTGAATGATTTCGTAGTGGCAAACTGGCGGACGTACTTAACGGGATGCCTGTTCCAATAATGTGACTGCTGGCGCTGCCGCTTATCCCCATCATTCCCAGGCTGCCGCCTTCCGTGCCAGTGTGCACGGCACCGCAGCTGTCGTTCATCGATGGTGTGTCTTTAAGCATTTCATGTATGCTGCGCTCACGTTCCGCCATGCTTGCTTTCCTCGTTGCCTTATCAGTGCGTAATGTACTTTAATTGCACCAGAAAAATCGTTCACTGAGTCTGAGGGGTAGCGACAGAGACGAATTGGCTTGTAGTTGGCTACCGGTGCACTTAAATCGATATCATACGGTAGATGAAGCGTTCTAAATTCTTTATTGTATGTTGTTCACAGCAAGAAACACTATTTTCAAATGCAGCACTGCCGCAATTACAATTTATACAATTTAAATTTGTTTGAGCAAAGAAAAAGCATAGAATTAAAAAGGACGCGGTGTGACCGACTGGCAGACCATGCGAAAATACCACATTTTCCACATAAAAGACGTGAACACTTGACGATTGCTTAAATTTCAATAAGGCACAATTATTTTTTACACGGGCTATGCTGAGCAATATCAAAAGTTTAATATGCCATCAAAATAAAGGAAATATTCTATTTGTGTATGTTAGCTTGTTGCAATAATGTAAAATGTTAGATTATCTTAATTTAGAAATGTGGCAGCACTGATTATGTTCGAGCGGTGTGGTAACAAATGGAAAAAAGTTATGTGAATGGCAAACTAAAACAACATTTGTTTTAGGGGTATTTCAGACAAGTAGAGCTGTAAATCCCTAAAAATGCGATATAATTGTTCAACAACCTAATTAACCAGTAAAAACAAATAAAAATATTTAATCTGCGATTGCAACAGTTATATGCGAGGACGGAAGAATGGTTTATATGCAATTAATAATGAGCATCGGCTGCGTAATTGCAGCTGCAGCCGCTGCAATTTATTTTAGTATGCCTGCAATAGCGCCGTCTTATCAGTCCAACACTGGCAGACGTTCCAATGACAGCGACGATAACAACGATTGTGGAAGACGAAGCAAAAAATGTAGCAAACCGCAGCGTTTACCGGCCAGGTAAATACATAAGCTTCTTGTGTGTTTAGAGTCTTAATTGTAATCAGTTGCATTTTAGCAAACCCGGCGACAAGTGCATCATTTGCCTAAAGGAAATGACAGCCCAGACGATGCATATAATGAACTGCGGTCATGCGCTGTGCCAAGCTCCATGCTTTGCACAATACCGCGAGTTCAATCGCTACTGTCTGTATTGCGAAAAGGTTGTAATACGCATCAATGTGCCCGGCGACGACTGCTGCATCTGCTGCGAGCCCATGTCGCTAGAGACCATTCAGTACTTGCCGTGTGAGCACGCTCTACACAAAATATGTCTGGAGTCATATAAGAAAGAAAATTACAAAACTTGTCCCCTTTGCTCAAAGAAACTTTAACGTCCTTATAGACAAACGGTAATACAATGTCAACTAAAGCAATATCACGACGCTAAGGCGCACACTTAGCTTTATATATATATGCATAGTTATTATGATATTAATAGGTTAAGTGCCTTCTTATAGTGTTTACAAACTTTATTGAAAACATTAAACGCTGTCTAAGTTTCTAAATGTCTTCGCTCCCAAAACTGATGAAGGCTGTGAACGATGCACAAGCGTGTCTCTGACCAACTGATCCAGGCTAAAATAAAACAGCGATTTTCAGCATTATCACTCAAGGTCTCACCTAATCACCCACTATTTGAAATTGCCCACCACATACACGGACGGATTCAGGACGCCTGCCAGAACGTGGGGGGAAATCTTCAGCGGTCAGCCAGGGCGTCACAGTGGCGACGAATTGTAACTTGTAATTGGCCACCGGTGCATTTATTAAACTTAATTTATATTACGCGATATGTGGAGCTTTGCAAACTTGTGTTATTCATGCCAAGTAAATCAATTAAGAGCAAAGGTAAATAATTATTAGGAGACTGTGTGACCATTTGCCAGCTAAACGAATAATACCACATTTTCGAGTTATTTCGAATTTTAATAGGGCACATACACTTACAGCTTTTGTTATATTTCATACGATTAGAATTGATAAAAATATAATTTGTCAATTTACATACAAAACAAAACGTATATATGTTAGCTTGTCACTCTAGTGTAAAAAAGTAGATGCATATAAATTAGAAAATGTGGTAGCACTGATTTATTTGAACCGTGTGGCAATAAATGTAAACACAATATGTGAATGGCAAATTAAAATGAAATATTTATTTTAGGGGGTTTTCAGACAAGTCAGTGAGAGAAAGATTAACATGATTTACTTGCCGTGCGAGCACGCTCTTCACTTGACATGTCTTCAATTACATAGGAGAAATTATAATACTTGTCCTCATTGCACATAACTACAACTGAAGACAAGGCGTTGAGTTCAGTTTCAATGCCAACAAATGGATATCTCTATCTTTATACCTAACATGTTGACTATATGTCGCGTGCTTCGTTGCAGTGTTCACAAATTTTATTGAAAGCAATAAACGCTGTCTAAGCTGCCTAAAGAAATGATTCCAGTACGGGAGCAGCACATAGTCGCCAATTGTCACGCCAGCGCAGCTCCTGAAACTGCTGCAGGATGCGCGCGAAGCGCGAGCGTGTCTCTATTATGCTTGGATTATTGGGGAAGTGCTCAAACCAGATGCGCAGCTGCTCGGCCAGCTCCTCATGATCGCTAAATACAAAACCGTTCTCGCCATGCTTGACCAGTTCATCTAGGCTAAAGGGGAATAGCATGTTTAAGTAAAATGATTCGAAGCAAATTTGGAACCACTCACCATTTGAAGTTAAATGCACAGACGGGCAGTCCGCTGCCAAACATGTCCACCACTTTCATGGGCAGATCCAGGCCGCTGGTGCTCCAGTGCAGGCAGACACCGAGATCGGCGCTGGCCAGAACGCTGGGATAATCATCAGCCTCCAGCCAGGGGGTCACAATGGACACCTTTTGCCAATGCATTTTAGCGATTTGCGCTTCGTAATGCGCTTTTTGCGGCCCTTTGCCCGTGATAATGCACAGCAGAGATGGATAGACTTGAGGTTCATCGACAGCAACGGACTCATATGACTCCAGCGCCTGCAGCAGTATGCCGAAGTCCTCGTCCGGGGTCCAGCTGGTGCTGGATACAAGTATCGCTTGCCGTTGAGGCTTGTACAATACCGTGCCGTTGGCCAGCTTTTGCGTAAGAGCCGTGGATTCCAACACGCCCGACTGTTTCAAATCTGCATAGCACTGCGGCATGAATTGCGCGTAATCTTTGGATAGCTTCATGAACAGCTCATGCTTTTGGGCCAGTTCAATGGGATGAAACTGCGCCGGTGCCCGATCGTATAGCACAGTAACGGGCCTGTAAGCAAACAGTCAGACATGGGCTAATGCTACTCCTGTGCTCCTTAGCTCACCCAATGTTCCAGTTGCGCTGCAAATCTTCCTTCATGGCCTTTGTGACACAGAAGTGTGTGTGCGCCTTGGCGCCAAAGTACCGTTCCAACCGTTTTGTCAGACGAATAAGCCGGCTCTGTTCGCCGCCGGCCATACCCAGCGCCAGCACCGTGTAGGTGTAGTTGTGCCAGTCGATGACTAGCTTGGTGCGCGTCAAGGCGCAATAAAAATAGCAGACGACCAGTGTGGGTATGCCGGGTGGATTTTGAACTAGCAGAAAGTTGGGCCGACGTATGGAGATTAATGCCATCAGCAGGCTTAGCGTTTGCCAGATCGCCTTAAAGAGCAGCTTCAGTTTTGGTGTTAGATTTGTGATAGGCACCGCTGGAAGCTCGTGAATTTTGCACTTGGGCTGCGCCACAGTCAACACATCTAGCGGTCGTGTCTCCATGTATCCAATTATGTCCACATTGTAGTTGTCCTCGAGTAGACTCTGCGCATGGTATTGCATACGTGGACTACGTCCGATGTCGCCCAACACAATGACGCAGGCATTGCGTTTTCTCATATGTAGCTCGACCATTCCGCTACTCTTGTTGTCCCAGCTCTTGACTGGATGTTTACTGCTACAGTTTCTTCGGCAGCTTCTTTTACCCCAATGCAGCTGAAATGCTGTGTGGTTTTTCGTTGTTGTTGGCTAAATTATTCGTCATTGTGGTGGTGCAGCGATACGAGCACGAGCTAATGTATCGATAATTGATGAGTGGGAAACAGCTGTGCAGCGCAGTGTGACCATATAGCTGCCAATATGTTAATCAACATTCAGTTAACAGTTCAATTGAGCATAACGTATTGTTGTCAGCACTATTGAGTCATTAACAGCTGTTAGCCGCTCACAGCTTGGCACTATGGTCTATGTTAAACCATTTTAAATGTTCTCTCAATGTTGATGTGCAAGGACGTGTCGCGGCATAACGTGTAAGAATTCTTTGTATTATGCGTGTGTGCTTAAGGTGTAAAAACTGGGCGTTTGTGTGTGTTGAGTGTGGGTGTAACTTACTGAATGCCTTCTAAGGCTATAACAACAAATGCTTTAATATGAATAAGTGCAAAGTGCACAACTAAATTAACAACAGAAAAAACAAAAACAACAAGAGCGGCCACAGCTAACGGTTAAAGCTGTCTGGCCATTGTTTTTGTTGCCGCCTGCAATGCGGCGAAATTTGCCGGTAAGTGAATGAACCAAATATACGCAATTTTGTTTTGGTATTCCGGTTTGTTGTACATTTTCGCCGGCACAACAAAGCGACCGCCCAAAATACAACCACACCGTCAACCGCCCCGCCCCCGACCATAGCAGCTATTGCAGGTTGGCGCCGTCGCTGTTTCGAAATTCTGTCAGACTACCCGCAAAAATGTCAATTGTGTGTTAGTGTATGGCTGTATGTCTATGTGTATGCCTATGTGTATGTGTATGTGTGTACATTTTTCTGTATTTGTTGTTTGCAGCCATTGACTATGAATATGGCAGCGCGCTAAGAGTATGCAGCATTGCTTTTGTTTTATTTGTTATACATTTGTATTGTATATATATTTTTTTCAATATTTGGTTTTTAACATTGCCAATTTTTGATTTTCACAGCAGCTGTTTCAGTGTGTGTGTGTATCGATAACTGGATATACGCGCCATGTTACGTGTGAGTACACATATACGCACGCACAAATACGCTTTCATATGTACATAGTTTATCCCATTAGAAAACTGTCTGCAGCGTCTGCGTCGCCAGACGAGACAGTAGCCTGAGCCGCCTCCCAACCGCACCCCACTTGCCACTTGCCGCTTGCTCAATAGCGCAGGCAAATAGCCCAAAAGCCGCCCAGAGAGTCAAATCCAGAGCCACCCCCAATGATTGTGGCTTGCCAGGCACACACAGGAACCCAGGACTCGGATGGACAGATGGCGGCTTGGTTGGGTGGTTGCTCCTTGTGGGCTTGGCTTGCAACTTTATGCCGTTGATTTTTGATTTCTGTGCAGCTTTTTATTGCGTGTCTGAAGTTTTGTGCCGCGTTTTGTTTCACATTTGGCATAGAAAAGTTGCAGCCAGCGTCACCGGTCTAGACACCTACCCGGTGTCATATTTTGCATCGTTGCATATATATATATATATATATTTGACCGTGCTCGACTTTTTAAAGCCATATATATCAATTAAAACTAGAATACATATACTTTATAAGGTCGGAGATGTCTCCTTTTATGCGCTGCACATATTATGACAAAATTATAAAAGCCTCTACACGGATATAAAAATATACAAATACAGGCTATCTATTCCCGGTTAGCCTGCCCTCAAAGGGGCTCTGCTATTAAATTTAACCACCTTATCGTATGCGGGTATACACGGGTGTATAAGTATAAGAAGTTCCGAGTAGTATACCTTTGCAGAGGGTATTATAATTTTGTATCTTGTCACAATAAGCTCATACACCTGGCTTTCTGCACGGTCCTTTCCTTTTCATTTCATTATTGTTAAATGCTTTTTGTTGCTAAATTGAGACGTTGCGACGTCAGACCTTGTTAGCGAATGTGTTGAATGAAGATGGTTAAAAATAGAAAACTCTTTGAACATAACTAAGGTCAATAGTTTAGTGTGCTTCGTGTTTTCCAACACTGTCCTGTCGAGCCGCGGAGAAAATCACGGTCCGCGCTTAGCTCTTAGTTTTCCTTAGTTTTAATAGCATCAAGCAAATTGTATTTGATCAAAGACAATGCAATGTTTTTATTGTCATTGGTTTTATGTTCGTAGCACTAGTTCTTATAAAAATTGAATTTTCTTTGCGTATGCTATAAGATTACATGCAAATGTACAGTCATACATACTCACAAATATATTCACATAAATACACTCAGTCATACATGCATGCATATACAGATACTCAAACATTAATATATATTTATACACGCATAATTCCATACATCGTTGTGGAAAAGCGAACATACTACGTACATATGTAAGTACATACAACTTAACACTTACATATATCCACCAGTAAGAAAACTTGTATGCGTTACTTGAATTCATGAGAATTGCATAGTAGGGCGACATTTATTGTGTGTTTTTTTTGATGCACAGCGGGGAAAAGTTATCAAAAAACCATTGAATGTTCGATCTGCGATTAGTAT